ATGTTGTTCGCGAACATAAATGAGCTGAACGCATTAGTGTTCAAGCTTGTTTATTTAAGAATCGAGTATTTAAAATATTGTTCAAGTTTGTTTGTTAGTTAAACGATCACGAACGAGCTTTAATCGAACTGAACAACGAGTAGCTCATCGAACGTTTGGTTCGCTTGCAGCCCTACACATCAAATTTCGAAGAGAAAGGAGTGATATTGATTTAGCCATTTCTGGTAAACTATGGAGAGCATGTAGATAAGTGCAACTATAAGCAAGATCCAAAAAAATCCTTATACTGTTAATTGGCCTTCACATGAAGCAGAGTGCATAGATCAAAACATGAAGACCAAGGAGTGTTACCGCTATAGCCATTTCCTGTGAACTATGGAGAACAATCAGAAGAGTGTAACTATGGAGAAGAAAAAAAATTCTGCTACTGTTAATTGGCCTTTGATGTAGCGCATGGACCCAAGCCCAGATTCATGAGTTGGACTGAATTCCATACTGAATCCAAATTACTCCAATTCATGAATTTCCAATAATTTTATTTAAATTAGGCTTATCTTTTATTTAAATTGGGTAGAATTTTCCTTTTGGATAATCTTGTTTCAAAATTTTGAATTAGAAGATGAGATTTAGTTTTGAATTTAAATTGCAAATACTAATTCTATAAATAGGATTTTGATTATGTTACTCAATTATTTTGAATTAAAATTAAGCAAATATTCCTTAATTCCCTGTCCCCTCTCTTCACTCTCCCTAAACAGTGGATCATCCTCTATCTGTTGAAAATATGAAAATTCTCATCCCTCTCACTCTGCATGCATCTCTAAGCCCACACACTCTATCTCCTACAAGAAATCTGAGATCCAAATGTACGGAGAAAAATCAAACAAACTTTGGGAGAGATAAGAATAATGAGATCAATAAGAAGGCCAAAATCTATAAGGTCTCCATCAATTTTCAAATTCCCATATCTGTATGAGAAAGAGATGTCAAGGAGCCTAGACAAACTTAAAGGTTGATATAGACTATAATCTAGTTCTTGGTTTCTTAAACTACAAATTCTTAAAAAAATTTATGATAAAAAAAAATCAAATTGCATCAACTTTTCAAAAAAATATTAATAACAATTGCCATCAAGAGAATAAGAAAATTCAATATATCTTTTGAATCCAAACATAAATAATTCATCACTATTAATCTTTAAATATTTGAGTTATCTTTTTTATATAGTTTATCTATACATATGAAAGACATGTCATACTTGTATGCTCTATTAGTTATTTAAAAAAAATTATATAGCCAATAAATATAAATTTAAACATTTCATCTTCTCCTCCCTTAAAAATTAGTTGTAATGTATTCATCATGAAACATGTTAAGTATTTTAGGATTTTTTTCTTAGATGCATCAGATCCTATTGCACAATCCAATAGTCATATGCGTGATTTGCTTGAGAATATTCACCTGAAACTTACTATTAACTATGATAATTATAAGACTAATAAATATATGAAAAAAAGGACAAGTGGATTCAAACTAGGTGATAAGTTGATTGTCAGTTTAAACCATAGAAAGGTTCTAGTAGGAATCTTTAATAATTTGATTGCTAGAAATGAGACCATATAAATCATAGAAAAAGTCGGGACAAAGGCTTCCGAATGAAAAATCCCAAAAATTCTAACAATAGTCTATATTTTAATATACATGATTTCAATTGATATCATGAACTATCAGCCAATGTCATGGATTCTTCTCTCCATCCACCTACATATTTCACATCCAACACCATTTACAAAATTGTTTAGATAATCTGATACGGCGGGAGCAAAGGGGGTCCGCACCATGCGGACCCGAGAGATGCTGGGTCTAACTAATTACCACCCAATGGGGTCTGTAGACCTCGAGAGAGAGGTGGCTGAGGAGGTGGGGCCTAGTAAAGAGATAAAATATTATGTTAGGAAGGAATCAATTAAGAGATCTTTTCCTAATTGAATTTCAAATAGAGGAGAGAAACTTATTAGGAAGGGTTTTTTATGCAGATTTTTATTTGAGTGCTATCGTTCTTTCTTGTGCGAGGGATCCTAGTGGGTCTAGGATTTAGGAGAGAAGATCCTCCTCTCGAAAGAGGATCAATTGTATCTTGATTCTTGTTATTTGTTTTTCTAGCAATAAAATCAGTTTTGTGCTGAAGTCATCTTGTTTGTGGACTGCTTTTTGATACCAAGGCATATCAAATTGGTATCAGAGCGTGTTCCTAGACCGGAATTTGAGTTCTTTTTGCTTATTTCTGCAGCAATTGTCCTTGCCGTTCGCTGGATCCTACTGTTGGGACAAAAAATCCAGGTCTTATTGCTGATTTCTGCAGCGATCCTCTGTTCTGACCGCTGAAGTTTGCTGTTGGAAGACCAGAACCACATCAAAGTTGCTGTTTTTTGCCAGGAAAATCTTGATCCGGGTACCAATGGCCGGAAAAATAGTTGAGGCAAAGGGAAGTAGGGCAACAATAAGCGGATATGGGAGCGGAACGAACGTATTTCAGCAATAGAAGGTAGGTTTGGAAACATGGAGGCCATGATGAAGAGGCTGTTGGAGATTCATACCAAAACGGTTCCACCGAAAGCAAGGAGAAATCAGGAAGACAACATGCCAAGGGAAGACGGGGAGGTGAAAATTTTAGGAGAAGAGGAGGAACTACCCCACCTAGAACCTCTTCCTAGAAGGGGGATGGATAGGGAATACATAGGGAAGAGAGAATGGTATGAAGAGATTAGGGAGGGCTGAATTTGGAGGACGGAGGGGTTATGAGCGGAAAAGAGAATAGAGGAAAAAGATTAGGAAGCTGAAAATGCTTGTATTTGAAGGAGAAGATGCACATGGGTGGATATATAGGGTGGAGAGATATTTTGCGGTGAACGGGTTAACAAAAGATGAAAGATTGATGGCCACCACTCTATGTCTGGCATGGTACCAATGTCGAGACGAGGTACCCGATCTATTGGTGCGAGGAGTTCAAGGAACGCTTGCTTGAGTGCTTTCAAGCTCAACAGGATGGGGACTACTATGAGTAATTTTTTTCCTTGACAAAGACTAGCACTGTGATGGAGTATCGAAAAAGATTTGAGCTTCTGTCAGGACGAGTAGGGAGGTTATCAGCACTGTGATGGAGCATCGAAAAAGATTTGAGCTTCTGTCAGGATGAGTAGGGAGGTTATCAGAGATAGTGCTGGAAAGCAACTTCATGAAGGGCCTCAAACCAGAGTTGAGGGCAGCAGTTCGGGTGGCAAGCCCCCTTGATTTGGGAGAAGCCATGGAGCTGGCACAGGTGATTGAGAACAAGAAGTCGCTGCAAAAGAGTAGAAAGGGGGTCAGTGGGGGAAATCCTTACTGTACGATGACAACTTATATGACACTGAGGGTGCATACCGTACCAGTAAAAAGGGAGATGCCAAAGGAGGGCGGTTCGGGTGCCTGACAGGGAGGGGAATTCAAGAGGCTAAAGATACCGAATTGCAAGACAAGAGAGTAAGGGGGATCTGGTTCAGAAGCAACGAGAAATTTACAACATGACATAGGTATAAAAATCGCACATTGCAAATGCTCGTTGTGTGTGATGGGGATGTGGAGAATGAGCAAGAGGCAGCAAATAAGGAAGAAGAGAAAGAGGAGCCCGCGCATTTAGAGGTGACAGAAATTTCTTTAAACTCTGTATTAGGATTCACCTAGAACCACACTATGAAGGTAGAATGGCATATTGGGGGAGAGGCAATGGTGATCCTAGTGGACAGTGGGGCTACCCACAATTTCATATCAAACCAGGTGGTAGACAAACTGGGGCTGAATCTAGTAGACGCGGGAGAATTCAGAGTGTTGATGGGCACAACAAACGTAGAGAAGAGCAGGGGATTTGTAAGGTTTGGTGGTTGAGTTGCAAGGGCTTCACATCGGGGAGGATTTTCTCCCATTGGAATTGGGAATCACGTATTTAATTTTGGGGATGAAGTGGCTACAAACTTTGGGAGAGAGCAAGTTGAACTGGAAGGCATTGGCTATGGAAATCTAAGTGGATGGAAGAAGGGTGGTGATTAGGGGCTTATCCAAGGCAATGATTTCACTGAAAACCATGGTTTGTGCCATTCAAGGAGGGGGATTCTTGGTGGAGCTCCAAACTCTCGAGGGAGGAGAGACGGAGGGGGAAGAGGACATTCCAGACATTGTCCAGCCCTTGCTTCAGCAGTTCAGGGAGGTATTCCAGCTTCCACAGGGATCGCCAACCCCATGGGAGCACAAACATTATTGTTCTGAAAGAGGG